AATAGACTGCCTAGGGAGGGGGTTGAGTCACCATCCCTGGATGTGTTCAAGTGTCATTTAGATGGGGTGTTGGGTGATATGGTTTAGGGGTGAACTTGCAGTGTAGGGTTAATGGTTGGACTCGATGATCCCAAGGGTCTTTTCCAACCTGAATTGTTCTATGATTCTATGATATCTAGGAGATACAATTTTGTTTTACTTTCATTATGGCTTTCATCTCCAACTATAGCTTTACATCAGTTTTGAGATAACATGATGTGCTTCAGTATGAGATTAAATACCAATTCAATTCCTTGTGAAATTTTCAAGTAAATAGTTTTATTATATTTTATTGAAATACAAAAGGCTTACATCCAGCGAGTATATTTGGTAATTAATAATTGAGAGTGATAAATACAATCATGAATAATCATTATTAAAATACACATTTTAAAATTATTTAGTTTTTAATCTGACTAGTGATAACTAGTATGAATTGAAATACACTAGACACATACAAAAATACATTTGTAATGGAAAAAAAATTGAATGCTTTCAGCATTCTTAATGCATTCTTAACTTAAATGAGCCATAGTGGAAAGCTAACGTATGTTGGCAGGGATGACGTCCAGTACCCTGCAAAAAGTATTTTTAAAGTAGAGTTTTATTCTGAAGAGTTACTGTGTAAAACCACATCTTCGGTTTCTTTTTTTTTATTGTTAATGTAAGTAGAAATACCATTTCAGCTGTAGAAACTCAACCTGGTACTCTTGGTGCGTTGCCTTAATTTGCACACAATCACCCGTTTTGGTGGTTTTGCAGGCAGATCTGTTTGTGCAGAGAATTGTTTGGAGTTCGTAAACAGGTTTTTTTGAGCATGAATAATAAGGTAAACTAAAGTTCGGTCTTTGTTGTGGTAGCTGCTTGGTACAAAGTAAAAAGAACCATCCCTAAAATTGGCTACTACCCTGAATGTGTGAAATTTTCACATCTGAAGGAGGAGCTGTCATCCACTAGAGTCGTGAGCTTTGCAGAAGCTCAGTTTGAGCTGTAAGTACAACTTCTGGTACACATCAAACAGCAAACAGTGCCTGGATATTAAACAAGACTGGTGCAACACATAGATAACGCTTGAGAAAAAGATGTCTAAAGTAAAGTAACGCTCGTACTTGAATCGGGATTGTGAATCCGTCAAGCATAACTTACTAAGCCTATGAAGTACTTACTGACCACCTGTTGTCTGCTTAGATTTCTGCTACAGAAGCTGATGATAACCTCTCTGAGTTCAAAGTATAC